TGTTGGTATAGCTGTATATTGGCATTGGTAAGGACCAGTCCAATGCAATTTCATCATCTACAGTCGCTCTACCCCTTACTGAAATTTCAGTATTGTTCACAGAAGTTGAAGTGTCAGAAACAGTAAACATTTTTCTTGCTCATTGGTCCTGTCATTCAAATTCCTAGTTCCATAGTAGGGGAATCATTTAATTTCAGTCCTTGATGATCAGTAGCATCACCAATTGGTTCTGGACCAGTTGATTCTTTTTCTGTCACTTTTGCCTTTAAAGGGAAACGTTCTCCTTGTAGAATAGAAACAAAGTCGTTGTCTGGACCATCTATTTGTTGTTCAGGCTTACTACTACTGTTAATTGGTTCTGGACTACACACGATTTTTTCTCCATCCAACTGCTTCCATTCATCTTTATTACTACCGTTAACTGGTTCTGGACTAATGGCTTTTACTCCATTTATCTGCTGCTCTTCATCCTTATTACTTCTGTTGACTGGTTCTGGACTATGCACTGGTTTTACTCCATCTATCTGCTTCTCCTCATCCTTATTACTACTGTTAACTAGTTTTGGACTAGGCATTGTTCTTTCTACATCTATCTTCTCATCATTCATATTATAACCATTAATCCATTCTGGAATAGGCCCTGCTTCTTCTTTGAGTTCATCACTTGGGTTCAAGCTTTCACTGAGGTGACCATTTGTGGAAGCATCTTAGTGGAACCAGTCCTTAGTTTTATCACAAAGTCATTGGCATCGTCTCCAGCCCCTGTAATGTAGTTAGCCTGATCCATATGTGTTATTTGTATAGCTGAATATTAGTGATCTCATATAAAAACATGAACGAACTTTATATCATAATCTACACAGGAGATCCAAGTGACTTTGGATCCTTGAGTTGTTTTCTATGAGATGATTTAATTCATATCTCGTGATGTTTTTATCAATTGGATTTCATCTTTTGACACATTTATTTTATTATTTCAGGTCATACGGTATGATGTTCACAAATTTTGCTTCTGAAATATTTCAGTACGGCGAACCATCGTGGAAATTCTTTGAAGACATTATTTTATTGGATTGGTTATATAATGATATTAGATATTTCATTCAAATAAGTTTAGTTTTTAAGTTGTGATACTATAGTTTGGATTATACTTTCTTTCGTTTGTCTAGGATTGATGAGATATATTATATTTTCTAATTTTATTATATATTTTTTGGCATTTGACAAATTTCATTGCCTGTAATAAGCTCTCTTTTGATTAGAATTTTGTTGGATTTATGAGTTGATGTAGTCATTAATTTACCGGGTATAATAATGGACGCTACATAAGCATGATTGTCGTTTTAAATTTGTTTTAACAACTATTTTAATTGCCGCTAGAACTAATGTGTTTTAGTGGCAATTTAGCAGGATTTACCAGCTATAAAAATGGACACTACACAAGCATAACTAACTATTTCTATTGGATTTAACAGCCATCTAAATTGTCGCAACCAATTGCTGCTAGAACAAATGTGTTTTAGCGGCAATTTAGTTGTTTTTACCGGCTATAAAAATGGATGCGACATGAGAATAACTAACCGCTTAGGATTGGATTTAGCACCCTTATAAATTGCCGCATCAAATTACCACTAAATCGAATGAGTTTTAGCGGCAAAAGAGCTTGGTTTTACCAGCTTTTGTCCAAAAGGCCGCAAAAGCCTTTACCGACCCTCGATACAATGGCCAAGGTACATTGGCTGGTAATGTCTATAGCAGCCATAGTTATGGCCGCTAATGCCTTTTTTAATTGCCGCTAAATACCTTTTATGTTGTAGTGTGAGCTGATAATAAACTCAGTTGTCCTTCAAGTGTCTTGATGGCGTCGGCATGAGAGTTCACTTTACTGTTCAATGATGAAAAGTCATCTTTCACCCCTTTCACAAATCATCCGAACCTTCAACTTTGTCAAGTATGTGTGACAACAAGTCATTCACCCGAGGACTATTTGCATTCCCTTTTGATTTTGGGCTTTCACTTGAGTTAGTATGGTTCTCCTCATAATCATCTTCCCTTCTCCAATAATCATTTTGCTCATCCCAATCTTCATAGTATCTCATTTTTTCTTCTCCCTTATGATAGTTCCAACCTTGAATTATGCCTCACTGTAGATAGTGTGGGTGGAAACCCTCCTTGTACCTCTTAGAGTTCCAACCTTGATTCTCCCCCGGCCTTGAGTAACCGGAAGAAGAACCCACCTCAACTCTAAACACTCCACATGTCCCCTTCCTGTGCTCTTGTAGAACTTCCATTTGGGTCATCATTTTCTTGATGTTCTCATCCCTCTCTCTCTTTATCAAGTTTCTCTTGCGTTAATCGAAAATGAAATAAAGAGACTTGGTCCTCTTGGGTGTACCATGCTTGGTTTAGCCTAGTCATGTCATCTAGAAGAAACGACGCTACCTCAAATGGTTGTAACATTATTCCTCCTCGTACCAATTGATTAGCCACTCCTTTAATAACCGAATTTAGACTCTGGTAGAAATATTGAAGTAACAAATCATTTGGTAGCCCATGAGTTGGGCATTTAAGTAGGAGCTTCTTGAATCTCACCCACATTTCATGGATGGGTTCCCCCTCCCATCTCATGAAACTTTAAATTTCATCTCTAACTTTCATCATCCTTGATGGAGGAAAGAATCTTGTGTTAAATGGTATAACCAGATCCTCCCATGAGGTGATGGAATTGTTTGGTAACTCGGCTAACCATTTATTAGCTTCTCCGGTTAAGGACAGTGGAAATAACCACAGCCGAATTGACTGTTGAGACACATTTTTGAATGAAAAAGGGTTGCAAACCTCAGTAAAGTTACGCACATGCTCATGTGAGTCTTCGTGATCTAGTCCTCCATATAGTCCCCTCATTTGGAGAAGATGAAGAGTTGTGCTAGTGACTTCAAACATCGCATTCTCATCAGTCTGTGGGATGCAAATTTCACCAATCCCACCCGACTGAGCTGGGTTGTAGACACTATTGATGTCGTTTATACCCTCTTGATGACCTGCTTGGCTGTCATTCATCTCTTCCTCACTCATGTTCACTTCTACATAATCCAACAATTACTTACACAAAGCAGCTGAAACTACTTCAACTACAGCCAATGAATTTGAGAGTGTCAAATTTTCAATCAAAGAATTCTAAATAATGTTACTCCCCAGCAGCGGCTCCTTTTTTATTAATGTATCAAGGCATTTCATCCAATACTAAATACCAACGATCGTTCGTCAGTATAATAACCCAACTACGTGAGTTGGGGTCGATCCCACAGGGAGTAGTACTTCCTTCAAATTCAATAATAAAAGTACAATGACAATCTCTTCAATCAAACAATTTTTGCACAATTAATATTCAAATCTCAAATTTCGGGTTTTAACTACCAATCCAAATTTACACTTCAACACAAGCAATCAAGTATTAGAATAAAGATTGGGGAATTGATCAGCCAATTATTGAATCTCAAGGAAATGGATAAACGTTACTGCTCATAATGAGATAATTTGTTGTGGGTAGGTCGAACCATATATAAAGTAACTTTCTCTCGAATAATTACCTTTTCTATGTTGAATTCTCTCGAACTTCAACACCAATCAAAAGAGGCCCATCTCTTTACCCTCATCAAATCCACTCTCTCGAGCTGGATACAAAGGAAGGGTCACTTGTTTCACTCTCTCAAGCTGAAACCAAGGAAACCCACTACTAAGAACGCTAAGATTGCCACCTTGGTTCCACACCTCTCTCTCGAGCAAGTGCATAACACTGAAATTGATACACGAAGTAGGGCAATTTAACCTCGAAACACAGCAACAACTTAGACCCACTTCAAATTAACACCATTCTTCGCAACTAACAAACACCCACTAAGTAAATTCAACATTTGGCTCCATGATCAAAACCCCAAGTAAAGGATTTTAGCCACACATCTCAAAAATAAAAAGATTAAAATCAATTATCACTCCCATAGTTGGGTACAAAATTAGAATTATAGAAGAAAATCAATTGATAATCTCCTCTCTTACAAAATCTCTCTCAAAATCTTGCTAAAAATCACTCACTAAATCCTTTGGTAGTGTTTTCTCTCTAAGTAATTCCTTCCTCACTTTCTTAATGAATTTATTTCTTTAGCCAAAATTAATTTAAATAAGTCTGAAGTGTCACTGTTCAGGACTACTCAGCGAAGTAAGTTGGGTATTGCTGACGATTCAGCGAATCGCCGATTGTTCTTCATCTCGCCTTTATTTTTTACTTTTTCTTGGTCTAGCTACTGTAACTTTAGGTAATCTAGGTCGGGATCGCCGAATGACTCCGCGAATCGCCCTTTATCCTTTTTATTTTTTCCATCAACACTTGCTTGAATGTTCTTTCGTACTTTTGGTGACCTGGTTGTGCTTCGCCGACTAGATCAGCGATATGCCGAATATGGTTGCTGTTTGCCGAATTCGCCCCCATTTTAGCTTCAGCATTTTGCAAATTTAGGTGGTATCTTGGCGATTTGGCGATTCGCCGAATGACATCATCGATCACCAGGTCTTCATTTCTTCATTCTTTAGCTTTCTTTGTTCATTTTTGCCCAATAGTGTCGATGCTTTGTCTCTAACTCTAAATACCTGAAACTCAAGGGTTTTCATCAGTTATTGAGACAAAATATAGAATTTTGAGGACACCAAATCTATCAAAATAAGGCCCTAAAAGAGTCCAAATCGCGGACACATCAGTCCACTCGTTAGGCTATTAGCATTTTTGTGAGAAACAACTTAGTCTAGTCGACCAGGTTGGAAGATCACGAAAAGAGAAGTTCGCCAACCATGATGCTACATTTGTGACTTGTTGAGTGTAACTTCAGTGAGCACGATCGACCTCACCCAAAGGGATCGACGAATCACCAGTTAGGAAGCTTATTGCTGAAATTGATAGTGTCTCTCCTTGGGCATCGCTTCCAATTGGACGGGCTGAGACGAGCTCGCTAAACAAAATTGGTGAGTCGCTTAAGAGGTATTATATCCCATAAATTGACAGAACCTAGAACCATGATAGGCTCACCTAATGTACTTGGTGAGTCACTAAATTGCATGGCAGCACGCCGAAAATGCCGAAATGGTAGGGCTTTCTTCCCACCTACACAAACAACACACATTATTGAAAAACACTAACACATGGGTTGCCTCCCATGAATCACCTAAGTTAATATTGTGGTACGATGTGGACATGCCCCTAGACATCATCCAAATACACCACTTTAACCACTCTCACCTCATGACCTTCTCCAAAATAAAATTTCAAACATTGGCCATTAACCTTGTACTTGGAGTCATCTACATTAACAATTTCAATAGATCCATTCCCAAACACTTGAGTTACCTTAAATGGATCAGACCACTTTGATTTTAACTTTCCTGGAAAGAGATTCAACGGGGAATTTAATAACAACACTTTCTCACCTACCTGAAACTCTCGGTGTAGGATTTTAGCATCATTCCAATGCTTTACCTTTTCCTTGTAAAGGAATGAACTTTCATACGCCTTTAACTAGAATTCCTCCAACTCAAGGATTTGATCCACACGATTATGTGAAGCACTATCCCAATTGAGATTTACAGTTTTGAATGCCCATAAGGCCTTGTGTTCTAATTCTATTGGCAAATGACAAGCTTTGCCAAAGACCAACTGATAGGGGAACATCCTGATAGGCAATTTAAAAGTATTCTGATAAGCTCAAAGGGCATCATCAAGACTCTTTGCCCAGTCAGTTCTATTTGCATTCACTTTTTTCACAAAATGTTATTGATCTCTCAGTTAGACACTTCAACTTGTCCACTTGATTGAGGATGATCTGGCGTAGCAACTTTATATTTCACCCCATATTTAGATAAAAGAGATTCAAACTTCTTGTTGTAGAAATGGGATCCCTCATCACTGATTATTGCCTGAGGGGTGCCAAACCTTGTAAAGATATACCTTTTGAGGAACTGCACTACACTTCCGCCTTCACTATTAGTAAAAGACACCGCTTCTACCCACTTTGATACATAGTCCACAGTCACCAAAATGTATTTGTTACCAAAAGAACTCACAAAAGGCCCCATGAAATCTGTCCCCCATACATCAAAAAGCTCAACTTCAAGAATTGATGAAAGAGGGAGTTCATGAAGATAAGAGATACCCCCTTGCATTTGGCATTTAATGCATATTTTAGAAAAATCATTTGCATCATGGTTCAGATTGGACCGGTCGTATTCACATTACAACACTATAGAGGTTGTCTGAATTCCACCATGGTATCTGCCCACTAGTCATGCATGACAAGCCTTTAAGATATTCTTTACCTCAACTTCCAGTACAAACTGCAGATTATGTGGTCATCGCATTCCCTAAGCAAATAGGGTTCATCCCAAAAGTATTTCTTCACTTAAAATAGGAACTTCTTTGATATATACCAACTCAACCCATCAGGTACAATCCTACAGACCACATAGTTAGCATAATCCACATACCATGGCGTTAAGCCATTGTAACACCCCGGATTCGAGAAGGGCAACACATCAGTTTTTCAGAAGTTACAGGTTCCATCCAATGGAGGCCACCCACGACCCGTGGATGGGACCACGGAACATAGGTGTGGTACGTGATTGGTCACCCCTAATTTTTGGCAGAAGCCTAGACCCGCGACTTGACCAACGGACCATCGGTGGGTCCATGGTCTGTGGTCGAGGGTCCATAGGTCAGGACCCCAAATTTCAGTTTCTGACCATAGTCGATGGTTGTGCAAGATGGACTGTTGGTTAGTTCATGGTCCGTCGGTCGAGGGTCGTGGTCGGCAGGTCGGCAGTTATTTCAAGGGTAGTTGGGTCTTTTCCTAATTAATTTATCCATATACTACGTCATTTTTCCTTTTATCTATAGACCTATATAAGTGATTTCAACTCCCAAATTAATTCATTCTCTTCAAATTCACCAAAGAAAAGAAGAACAAGTCTCCTCTTCAAAATATTTCGCTCTCTAGAAGCTTGAAAAAAAAGATTCAAGCTAGGGTTCAAAGTCAAGCCTTCATTCTTCAATTGCCTTGGGCTTTGATATCAAGGTATGATAGTTTTCATCCATGGATTTCTTCCATTCATGGAATTCCAAAATTCTCCTATTTTCAAAGTTCGAAATCCCCAATTGAGTTAGGCTTTTCTTCAATTGCCATGGGTTCTTTTGATTATTGATTTAAATGATTGAGTTATGATCTCTTATGCATGAATTGATGAAATACTATGATTTTATGATGATTTCCCTATGAACCCATGAAACCTCCATGTTTTCCAAGTTAAGATCATATGATGTAGTATTTTTATTATGAAATGAGAGTTTTATCAAAATCAAGCATGAATTGATAGAATTACGTGAATTTATGATGAAATCCATGTCTAACCCATGTTTTCTAGATATTGATGATTAACGGTGGGTTTTGAACCTTGAAAGGTGAATTATGGAATTATGCATGTTCTTATAAAATTTATGTAAATGTTTTAAGGATGATTTGAGAGTGAAGTATCAATGATGATGTTGTTGTAGTGTTGTTGAAAGGATTTCTCATATACACATAAAAGCATAATTGTGAAAGGTTTTCTCACATAGAAAGGATTCTAAGGTTGAAAGGTCTTCTCACCTAATTGAATCAAAGATAAAGAGCTATCCTAATGACTTTGGATTGGAAAGATGGTGTGCCCTTCCATGGATAATAAGAACAAGTGAGAAATGACTACTCCGCGGGATTTATGCTTAGCACCGAGAGGATATTGAGATGGAAGCTCTCCCGTTAGTAGAGGTCATGTTTCTAGAAGCAATCTCCTATCTCTTACCTATGTGCCCCTATAGGATGATTGTCTAGATAGACATTAGCTAGTGAATCCACTTAAGCTAGAAGTTCATGGTTCTACCTTGGCAAGTAGGATAACTCTTTTCGGTGTGGGAGGCACCGAGGGATCATGTTATAGCTCACATGATCTCTATGTCGGTTAAGGCTAATTCCCACAATAATGATGAACTAAGGTTACTTCAAGAAGTATCTTGTATGTGTTCAAAGGTTTTAAAAATGTTAGCTTGCATTGACCATGTTTTATGACTTGTGTTTTCTAACTCTTCTTATATCATGTTTTAGCTTGGCCAATTGCATGTCATGAAATGTCCCATTTTAGCATGATTTAAATGTTTTATGCATAGCTATCATACTTGGTACATTGTTTTGTACTAACGCATACTCGTGCCTACATTTCCCCAAATATAGGATCCAACAGTCAGGGTCCTCAGTTTCGTGGCTAGTGGTTGATCTCAACATTTTCAAGCTTGGTGAGTCCTCATGCTTTGAGGACGGATTTTCATTGTTCTTAGTTTCTTTCTTATTTTCAGTTTTTTACATGATGTATGGGCTAGGCCCAATTTCATTCTATTGTATTAGATGGCTATTGAGAGTAGTGTTTTAGACTTCCGTTTTCTTCTATAAAACTTTTGGTCTTGAAATGTTGTTTCTACCTATTATGTTCTATTTCTTATTTTATGAATGCTAAGTGGCTCGTATGGGGTCTCTCGGGGTCCCATATGCCATGTTATATCTAGGGGTTACCACTGGGTCATGACAGCTATGAGAGAGCCCCATTACCATTTCATTGGGAAAAGTTTCATCAACCTCTCTTTCTTTAGTTGTTATAGCAATTGGTTCAAGCCGAGACAAATGATCAACAGCTTGATTTTCACACCCTTTCCTATCTCTCCCTTCAAAATCAAAATCTTGAAGGAGGAGTACCCAATGGATCAATCTTGGTTTAGTTTCTTTCTTTGCAATGAAATATCAAAGAGCGGTATGATCAGTGTGCACAATTACTTTAGTGCCCATAAATAAGCTTTGAGCTTCTCAAACCTATACACAACAACTACCAACTCTTGTTCTGCGACAGTATTATTCTTCTGAGCACAATTTAGAGTCTTACTAGCATAATAGATAGGGTGAAAGAGATTGTTCTTGTGTTGATCTAGGACGGCACCAAGAGCTACACCATTGGCATCACACAACATCTCAAAGGGAACACTTAAATTCGGAGTAATAATGATTGGGGCTGAGACTAATTTTCTTTCTAACCCAAAAATGCCTTCACACAATTAACAACGAACTCAAAAATACTTTTTTCAAGCAACTTACACAATGGGACAACTACCTTGGAGAAGTATTTTATAAATCGATTGTAAAATTCGACATGTCCAAAGAAACTTCGAACACCTTTATGGAAATTAGGGGAGGAAATTTTGCAACTACATCAATTTTCGCTCGATCCAGTTCAATACCCTTTCTCGAAATCTTGTGTCCAAGCACAATTCCATCTTTAACCATAAAATAAAATTCTTATCAATTAAGAACAAGATTTTTCTCGACGCACAATTCTAACACTCTACTCAAATGATTTAAACATTCTTCAAAGGAGTCACCAACAATAGAAAAGGCATCCATGAAAACCTCTATAGAATCTTCTACCATATTAGTGAATATCGATAACATGCACTTTTGAAATGTTTCCGGCGCATTACACAATTCGAATAGAACTTTTTTGAAGGAAAATGTCCTATATGGGCAGGTGAGAGTGCTCTTTTCTTGATCTTTTAGGGCAATGGAAATTCGGTTATAACCCGAATAGCCGTCAAGGAAGTAATAACATCCTCTACCTGCAAGACGATCTAAGATTTGGTCGATAAAGGGCATTGGTAAATGATCCTTCTCAGTCTATGAGTTGATTCACAAAGAAATGGTGTAAGCACCTTTTTTAAGATAAGAAAATAGACAATAAGCCTGTCAAGTTTCCGATAATCCGTACACACCCTCCATCCGGTAACAGGGCGGGTTGCAAGGATTTCATTCTTTCCATTTAATACTACGGTCATACCACTATTTTTGGAACACATTGCACAAGACTCACCCATTTGATAACCACAATAGGATATATCACTCCGGCATCCAACCATTTGATTAACTATTTTTTACCACTTCTTACATAGGAGGATTCAGCCTCATTTGATGTCCAATACTCGGCTTGCATTCATCGGATAGTTGAATCTTGTGTGTGCAAATACTCGGAGGAATCCCTATAATATCGGAGATAGACCAACCCAAGGCTTTAATATGCTTCTTCAAAGTACCCATCATGACCTCTACATGCTCTATCAATAAGTCTTTTGCGACAATTACCAGTAATGTACCATCATCCTCAAAGAATACATATCGAAGATGTGAAGGTAACATTTTAGCTCTAATTTTGATAGCCCTTCAATGGATGGTTTGCCTAGATGATTTTTCCAGTTTTTCAAGTCAATGTCCAATTTCTTAGGGTGGAATAAAAAAGTGCTCGAACCTACAAGAGAACCACTACCTCATCAAAGTCATTAATCTCCTCTCTATCATAATTGAGTAACACATCTGCCAATGATTTCCACCACTCATCATTTCGCTTAAACTGGCCACCGCCTCATTGATGCACATCTACTTGAGATGCTATAGGCATATCATCGGGGTACTTTATGAATTTCCAAAAGTTGAAATTTACTTCTTTATTGGTTACCCTGAATTTTAAGTCCCCACTCTCAACATCGACAATAGCTTTCCCAGTAGCTAAAGATGGTTGACCAATGATAATCAGAATTTCGGCATCAATTTCACAATCAAGGACTATAAAATTAACTGGAAATATAAACTTATCCACCTTCACTAGAATGTCATACACCACTCCCACCAGCCTTTTGATTGACTAGTCCATCATCAATAATCTCATGGTTGTTGGCTTTGGGTCGTTCAGCCAAAGTTTCTTGAAAATCTTCAAAGGCATCAAGTTTACGCTTGCCCCGAGCAGATAAGCTCTAGAAATTTGATATCCCCCAATAATACATAGAATAGTGAATGCTCTCATGTCATTTTTCTCTGTGATCATGTTTCTTGTCATAATAGTGCTACAATTGTGAGAGACTCCAAGAGTTTCAAACTCCATCCTTCGTTTCTTTGTCACCATCTCTTTCATATATTTATCATAACCCGATATCCCAATCAAAGCATCCACTAAAGGGATGTTCACCGATAAATTCTTGAGTACACGTAAGAACTTTTGATATTTTGCATCACTCTCTTTTTTCTTTAGGCATTGTGGAAACTGTG